CCTGCCCTGGCTGGGGCGTGGAGCTTCTGAGGGGTGAGTGGAGGAGTGAGTGGCTGCCTGGAAGGCAGGAAGTGGTTCTGCGGGGAATTGCGAGGGAGACTGCGAGGGAGAGGGAAGCTTGTTGAGCCCACCAGGTGAGCAGCCCCTGGGACCCCCACCCCCTGGCCCAGCATCCCTTGGGAGGGAGCTGAGGGCATTCTGCCTAGAGTCCATGGCTGGCCCCAGGAGAGAGGAAGGAAAGGAGAACCAGAGGGGGCTGGGCTGGGGTGGATGACCCAAAGTTCAGGTGGGAGGCTGCAGGATGCCTGGTTGTTTGGCCCTTAAGGTTGGGCATGGCTGGAGTGTGGAGGGGCGTGCTGTGCTGTGCTGTGCTGTGCTGCTGTTGGGGAATGCAGGATTCCTGTCCAGTGAAAGCAGGTTGCTCCAACCAGGGTAGTGCAGAGAGCCAGCAGGCGTAGCCCTGGGGCTGGGGGTAGAGTTGTGGCGAGAAGGGCAGCTATTCCCTGGCAGAGGCAGGGCCTGATCTGGGCCTGTGGCCTCTTACCATCCTCTTGGGGGCCCCTGGGAGAGGTCTGAGTCCCCTGGGCTTTCCTGAGCCTGGACTAGCAGGAGCCCTAGAGGCCCACTTCTCTGAAGCTGATGCCCGCAGCAGACCCGGCACAGGAGAGGGGATGGGGAATTGGTACTTGTGATTAGAACACACCTTTTCCAGGGCCCTGAGACCTTGGTTCCCCTCAGTCAGCTCTTCAGTCCAGTCCTGGAGATGCCTGTCCCGCCCAGGAGAGCCGCAGGGCACTGCACACCCCTTCCACAGCCTCGTTAAGACTGCTACAGAGTGAGCTGCCCTCAGCTTGGGGAGATTTCAGCTCCAGCCCTCTTTCTGCCTCCAACCAGGTCTGGAGATGGAGATCTCACTCTCTAAACTATGTAAGAATGGGTGTTGTCAGTAACCACCAGAATGGTCTGGGAAGAGTGGCCCAGCCCCCACCCCGGGGACACTCAAGAAACCTATTTACCCCTCTAAACAAAGGGCAGGCCCTCATCTCTGCCCTCCTTTGCCCAGACCCTCCTTTGCCCTCTGTGCTTCCAGTGGCTGGACAAGAAAGGGTTAAGCTTGTAAGGAGTGAGCCTAACCTGCCCCCCTCCACCCCCACCAGCCCATCCTGGGCACTGGCAGCAGCAGCCCTGAAAAGATCCGGCCTTATTCTTTATGGGAGGGGTAGTTAAGGACCCTGGGTTGGGGGCTGGAAGCTAATTAAGGGAATTTGAGGAGGTCCTTTATGGCCTGGAAGCCACCCCTCCTCATACCCTGGAGTGAGGACCGTTGTGTGAGGCCTTTGTAGGGCAAGAACTGGAAACTCATTACCGGGATGGCTTTAGTGCAGGTGGTGGAGGATGGTGAGAGAATTTAACCTGGGGGGCCCAGTCCTGGAGGGAGGCAATGTGGGTGGGTCTGGGGTGGGGAGTGCTGAGAAAGGGGAGTGAGGGCTTCTCAGGTGCCCCAGATTCTCGCTTCCCTGTGAGATTCCTGCCGCTGGACCCCTCCACTCTGCTGTGGCCTATGGCTTTTCATTCCTATGTGATTGCTGTCCCAAACTCATGTAGGGCTAAAAGCCATGGGCTACAGTGAGGGGCAAGCTCCTTCTCCTGCAGCAGCTGCACCTCCCACGGGACCAGGTTTGGAGCCAGCCACCAAGGGGCACCAGAAGGAGGCTCTGCTTAGGGGTAGGGCATCAGGGGATGTGGTAACCTGGGATGGGGCTAGGCTGTGTGACCTTGGCCGAGTCACTTCCCCTCTGGCCATGTTTCCTCACTTTGCAAGGAAGAGACTGGGCCGGTTATTCCAGAGGGAGATTCCCTCTGAGGAAGGAGGGAGACCCTCAGGGTGTGCCGAGCTTTCTGAATTGATTCCTTCCCCCTTGCCAAGTTACTGAGGCCTGGTTCATGGCAGAGATTTGGGGGCTGGAGTCAAGGGCATCAGGCCATGAAGACTTGGGCCTTTGCTCAATGCCTCCAGGAAAGCTTCACTCTTTCACTCCTTTCTCCGAGGTCAGCTTGGAATCTGCAGCCGTTTTATGTGTCAGGAGACCTCTGGGCTCTTGCTGAGGCTAAAACAGGAACACTCCATGCTGGCCCCGAGGGGAGAGGAGGTATCTGCAGAGTGAAACTAGGAAGGCAGGAGCTCCCCCTGGGTGGCAGGCTGGACTCCAAGGTCCCTAGCTCCTGGTGTGCTACCCTCTCCAGGAACTGCCCCCCTACTGAGGTATGTGAAGGGCACCTGCCCTCCTCCCCCTGCCCCTACCAGCATCCTGCTTATCAGCTTGCCTGGCTCCTCCCTATGTCTGTCTCTGCTGTCCCTTTTAAATTAGCCTGACTTTATCCCTACCAGCCTGGAAGATTCCAACAGGTGGAAATAAAGCGGGCAATCTGGCTGGGTTGGAATAGGAAGCACCCTTGTGCCCCACTTTCTAGCCACCACCCCACCCTGTTCCAGTCCCCAGTCTAAGACAGACCATTGAAGAATCATAGAAACTACTAGATTTGGTATTGACAATCAGAAGGCAAGTTTCTTATAATATCTCAGAACCCTTAATTGAGCCAACCAACATTTACTGGGTACCTACATGATTCTAACCACCCTATCTGTACTAACTCATTTCATCCTCAAGGCAGTCCTATCTACTATTCGCCCATTTTACTTATGGGAAGTCTGAGGCACAGGGAGCTGAGAAATTGGCCCAAGTTCATATGGATAGGAAGGAGCAGAACTGGGATTTGAACCCATGTGGTCTGGTGCCAAAACCTTTGCTCCTAGCACATTATACTGCATATGGGGAGAACCAACACCAGTGCATGGTAAAGTACTGTGAAAACCAGGGGGTGCTGCACTCGCAGGAGAGGTGGTTCTAATGAGGTCTCTATTGCACGGCCACAAATTGGCCCTGTGGCCCAACTCCAATCGCCCTTTGTCCATCACTGGTTTTCCTTTTCCCACAGGAGGTGGGGAGGAGGGGGGGATCAGAACAATAGGAGAAGCAAAGAGAAAGCCCGGGCCAGCTGGTTTTTTGCTGGGGCTGATCCAGGCCACTTCCCCTCCTGCCCCAGCTTAGACGGTGAAAGAAACAAGGCATGAGAATTGGCCAGGGTTTCTTACTAGCCCTCTGGATTCTCTCGCTCAGAGTTCGGAGATGACTGGCACCTTCCTCCACCTCTTTCATTGTCCATCTGCCCTAGGCCCAGAGTGAGCCTATCCTATTCCCTACCCTGCTCGGAGGCTGTTCAGGCACCTGATTTGCTTCCCTTAACTCCTGATCTCCTAGCTGAAAAGTCAAGTTACAGCCATGCCCCTTTCCTGCCTCCTGCAACTGGGCCTTTCCCAGGAATCCTGTACAGTGTGTCCAGGTGGGCCCCAGCACTGGGCTGGGCCTGGGGGCAAGGGTACAGATGAGCCATTCCAGAGATTATACCTCTGTAAAGCTCCAGCAAGGCAAGACACTTTGTAGGGATGGCTGAGTAAGTGTTTGTTGAAGTGTGAACTGGGAGGAAAGAGGGATGGGGTAAAAGAGGTAAATTACCACTAGCAGGGACACAGAGCAAGCCCACAGCTCAGCAACTCTCCCAAGACAGTTCTCACTTTGCCGGGGCTGGGCCTGGGATGTTTCTGAGGTGACAAAGGTGGATCTCTTTTCTATTCTTTGTCTCCAGGCGTGGAGAAGATATACAATTATATATTTCACGTAATTGTGCAGCTGCATTGAATAAGCAAGCTGCCCTCATGCCCCTTCTCCCTGGAGGATCCACAGATCAGAGGGCTGTGTGTGTCCTGTGCCCTGCCTGAAGACGGCTGAAACTTTATTCCCAGCAATCTAAGTCTTTTTGTTTGTTTGTTTGAGTTGGAGTCTCACTCTTTGGCCAGGCTGGAGTGCAGTGGCGGGATCTCTGCTCTCTGCAACCTCCGACTCTGGCTCATGCTGTTCTCCTGCCTCGGCCTCCCAGGTAGCTGGGATTACAGGCATGGGACACCACGCCTCTACTAAAAATTTTCTGTATTTTTAGTAGAGACAGAGTTTCACCATGTTGGCCAAGATGGTCTCGACCTCCTGACCTCGTGATCTACCCGCCTTGGCCTCCCAGAGTGCTGGGATTACAGGCGTGAGCCACTGTGCCTGAAGTCCTTTTTACAGTCCTCAGAAATATGCAGCATAAGGCCTCCCTTGGGAGAGTGGGCCCATGTTTAACAACACTGAATTCAGATGACTGTCTCTTATTGTATTTGTTCCATTTTTAGTGGAAATAGAGTTTGACTGCTAAGCCCTAGTCCTTTCTAAATATAAAGACTATTGGGGGTAAAAAAAAAAGTCTCTGTCTCATCTTTCGAAAGTTTGATACTAAAGTTTGACCTTTGGGGTTCATTCTGGCACTGACAGTCTGGTCCACGAGGTTTCCAGCTGCTGCTGCTACCCGTCACGTTGCCCACTCTTAGGGTGGGCCAGCCTCTGCCTAGCCAGGCTGGAAAACCCTGGGTGCAAGCCACAGAGACATTTTAGGACCGTTGCTGTTGTGACCCCTCCAGCTCCCAAGAACCTCAGAACCACTGAGAATGCTTGGCTGCCCTTGCAGTCTGAAAAAGAGGAGGGAACTTTCTCCATAGGTGGGCAAGCAAGATACAAGTGGGGCTGGCCTGGCAAGCTAGGATCTGTGGCCTCTGAAGGCCATTGGGGGCAGAGAGGGCCTTGACCTGTGATTCCAGGGAGCTTGCTGAGCCAGAGGCTGGAGCTCAGGCTCAAGCAGGCCAAGAAGGAGTTAACCTCCAAGGAGAATGCTGGCTTCTCCCAGACTGGAGGCCTGTGCCCAGCTTTGCTGCTGCCAACTCTGGGAAGAAGTCCTGGGATCTGTAGTTTGTGCCACCACCCACCCCTGGCCTGCCTGTTTATCAACACTGTCTTGTAGACTACAGTTCCCAGAAACCTGCAGAGGCTAGGCTTTGGGGGAAGGGGTGGGGTAGGAGGCTCCGTGGCGGCCAGAGGGAGAGGGAGAGGGAGGAGGTGGGGAGAGAAAACCCAATTCACCCCCTTCCTTTTTAATTCTTTCTCCTGGTGTGTCTGCTCCACCGCCCGAGCTAATCCCCCAAATCCGGTCTCCTAAGCCGCAGCTGCTTCCCTTCGCAGTGATGAATGGCTCAGGGAGGGAAGGTGAATTCATATTTTAATTACTGAGGCGCGGTGCTAAGGGAGCCGGGGAGGGGGTGGAGGGCTCAGCTTTGTTCTAGAGGCGCCGAGGGCACACCCTCCTTACTGGGTCACTTCTCTTTTGCCCTTTACCTGGGGTGGGGGGTGGCGAGGACTGAAGGTGGGGATTGCCTTGCTGAGGGCGCCTCTGCTCTCTGCCTTGGGAGATGAGGGGATGGGTCGTGGGGGGCTCAATATCCCTTTTCTTGTTTGTCAGAGAATTCCTGGCATGTCCCAACACTTTTAAATAGCTTCCTACCCTTCCACCCCTCTGCCTTCCACTTTGATGGACATCGCCAAAATTCGAGACACCTAGGAGTTTGTGGTCTGCACGCCTGGGGCCCTGGATTTCTCTTTATCTTACTTTCTGGCCTGCTCTGAGTCCCCTCTTTCTCTTGGTTCTTCCACATGTTCATGCTGCTTCTGACTCACTGCCCCATTTTTGCCAGAGGTGCAAGGGTTGGAGGACCCCGGGAGAGTATTTGGCACAGAGAGATGTGGGGGTCAGGCCAAGGAAAGAGATCAGCAGGGAGGCTGAGGAACCTCCTAGTGGTGGGGGAGGACGCGTGCTCTGTGGATTGGCATCTCTTCTGCTCGGCTCCACAAAGGTGGCTGGGCAGAGCATCGTCTATGCCCCAGACCCCAAACCATCTTGGACCTGAGCTGGGGAAAAGTCAGAGAGGAGGATGGGGAAGAAGCCAGGGCCAACAGCTTGCAGTCAGTTGCAGCCAACTGTGTGATGGCAGGAGGTTTGTCCAGTGTCCTCCCCGCCTCTCTGTCCTATTCTGGGCTTCTGGGGGCTGTTTTTCCATTCCTTAGTCCCTCCTGGACTATGGGCATGGAAATGGAGTGGGAGGGTGGGAGGGGAGTTCCCATGATGAGCACTGATGAGTGGGGAGTGGACCCAGGCTCGAGTCCAGATTCCTCCCCCTCAAATAGATGCAGCAAGGGGACCTGACTTCCCCAGGGAGCCTCCAGCTGGTGCTGAAGCCGTCTGCCAAGGGTGAGGGGTAAAGACAGGGAAGAGAGTCGACAGGACTCCTGCCTGGGCAGAGCAGAGAGGAGCAGAGACCACAGCCTGGCAGAGGGACTCCCCAGGTACCTGCCGCTGGGGACTCTGAGGGAGGAGTGGGATTCACAGCGGGCAGGGACACAGAAATGGGTTGGAATTCTCTGCCCCATGTCCCCCCACTTCAGGGGCTGGCCCAGCGATCTGTGTGCTGCAGACAAAGCCCAGGCAGCCTCTGGGGCTTGGAGTTGTGCACCTTACAATGAGGACCCTTTTAGAGACCCTGTTAGAGAAGAGGAAGGAGAACCAGAGCACTTTAAAGCAAAGATCTGAACAGAATAGACAGGCCCCCTTTATTATACTTTCTGCCCTTAGATACAAGGCCCCAGGAATCCCACTGAGGCAGCCAGCCCTTGAACACCTCTCGGGAGTCAGGCTGCAGCCCCTAGCCCACCTTCTGGCCGGTTTCATTTGCTCTCCTTTCCTCTGATGTGTAGGTCCTGGTTCCTCTGACCCCACACTCCACAGGATTTTCTTACACTCCCCAAAGGACCCTGGGGAAGAACGGTCACTTAAGGGGGCATATTTTGCTATTTTAAAGGGAAGAGGATCAATGCACCCTGGGGCCAGAGACCCAGAGACCTAGACCTGTTGTGGGGCTGCCGCCTGCCTGGCTTGTTTTAGTTGTGAGTTTCTTCCCAGATCAGCCTTGTTGTGCTTGTCAATTTCTAGCCATATATTTTTCAATAATCATGGGAATGCTTTGTTGATCATACCCTTGACTTACACCCCCAACAAGAGAAGTGCATGCATGACAATAACTGATTACGAGGAAATCCACCCACCCTCCCTCCCTTCTTCCTGATTAAGTTAGAATTCCGAATGCCTTCCAGCCCCTTAGGTTTGGGGTCTTAGTGTTAAACCTTGCCTAACCTCCTGGTACACTGAGATGAGATAATGAAAGCCCAGAGAGATGTAGCCACTTGCTTAGGATGACACAGCATGTCAGCATCAGAGCCAGGAATAGAACCCAGGCCACCTAAGTCCTAAATTGGATCTGTGTCTCTCTCTAGGTTTGTCACAGGAGGGATCCAGGGATAGCTGCAGTAGATAGATCTAGAAATATAGTAGTTGTGTCTCGGCTCTGTCTATATATATCCTGGAGGTTGCTCTCTGCTAACTATATATACTCAACCAGAGTGGGTGTGTAAATGGTACTGGAAATCGGGTTATTAAATAACCAGCCTACCTACCCATGCTGACTCAAGCTGGGCCTCCTGCCCATCCAGCTGGCCAGTGGAAATGCATTGCACCTATTAATTACAGCTATTAGCTGTATTACCAGGATGGTGAGAGGCTGAGGGAGGAGAGAACCTTGACAGGACTCCACAGGGCACTGTGCTTGGTGTGGGCCACGGTTCTGCGTGGAGAAACATGAAGGAAGTTTTTCCAAAAGGGCGAGGTTGGCCAGATCAGTGGAACTGTCCAGAGAGCCACCACCTGGGCCATGCCGCATTCCTCAAAGGCAGTGAAATCACTTTGCACATGTGCCTTGCTAGGGGGCCGAGGGCATTCTTTGCAATCCCCATTGCATGAGGGGATGGGGAAGGGAGGTGCCTCATGCTTCCCTATTCCAAACCCCTCCTGCATAGCCCTGTGCCTCCCTCCTTCCCCGCAGCACTTGGGCTTCACTCACCTGCTTGCCCCCAGTGTTACTCCTGGAGAGAGAAGTGATTCAGGCCAGGCCGGGGGCCTGACCTCCACGCAGGGCGCTTTGGTTCCTTTGTTCTCAGCTTCTCTGCTTGAGTGACTTGAATGCACTTCTGCTCCCTTTCAACAGGCCCGGGGCAGAGGAAGGGCAGAGAGGTGAACTGGAAGAATCTGCAGGTGGCTAAGGCTAGGGAGCCTAAATGAGCCTTTGGAGAAAGGGATACTCTTGCAGACTGAAGCTGAGCTCCCGAAGCTCCCTCTCTTCCCCAGCCAGACTGCCACAGATACCAGAGTGGCCCCTGGCTCCTGCTGAGGGCCGGGTCAGCCAGAGGTGAGGGACGGTGTGTCCAGCTGGGGCAGATCCAGCCTCAGCCTCTACCTCAGACTTACTTATGTGCCAGGGAACAAACCATGTCTTTTTGCCCTTTTGTATTTACCTCCCAACCCCTTTGCCCAACATAGGTGCTAAATAAAAGAGCCTGTTGGCTACAAGAACTCTCTTTGCTGTGTGTTCTCTCCATGAGGAGGACTGGGATTTGCATTGCTCTGAGCAATCAACGGAAGTGCATGATCACTCCCTACAGGCGCTCCTAGGGTATCAGACAACACTGGGTTGTTCAGGAGGGGAAGAATCTGACTCAGTCTCAGGTGTCAAAGTAAGGCTACCCTGGACGAAGGATGGAGGAGGGCTTGTCGTGTGTGCGGCCTGCAGAAGCGAGTGGATGCCCCCAGATGGAACCTGTGTAAGGTGGCACAAGCCAGAGCCTATTTTAAGCCCGCTTGCTTCCTGTTTCCCAACCACAGGTGTATGGGGATGGGGTGAGGCAGAGTGGGTGGGAGGGGAACAAAGGAGGCAGCAGCTGGGCTTTCTCTTTTCTCTCTTGGACTCGCCCAGTCTCCAGTGTGAGGCATGACATCAGCTCCACACAGATCAGGAAACACTGAAGTTTCAAAGAGCTGTTGTTTGGAGGCCGGGCTCCTCCCCAAGCCGGTGTGAGAGACCTAGCAGGGCCGCCTCAGGGAGTGGCCTGGACTGGGCCAGACCCAGAGGGTTCTGGGAGCATTAACCCCAGCTTGCTTCTCTCTCCCCGCCTTTCTCCTGCCCCTCTCCCTCCCCTGCCTTTCCCTGCAGATCTCTGGTGAGTGTTCCCCCAGCCTGGCGTAGGGCATGCCCCAGTTCACTTTCGCCTGCTTCTGTGGTCTCCATGGCTTCTGCAAAATGAAGAGGAAGAAGGAGGAAGTTCACAGAGAGCGGGAGACGGCGGTGTGAGCAGAACCAGGGCCCCTCCATCAACCCCAGCAGGTCCCAGGCCTGACAGTGCCCGCTTCTGGCTGGGGCTTGGAGCAGGAAGCCGTGTGTACATCTTAAGTCTTGATTTAGCCGGTGCTCTTCTCAGCCTGACTCACCTGAGGGCATCAGCCTCCCGTGGGCCTCCCAGCCTCCTCATGCCCACACCCAGTAGCTTCCAATTCTCAGACCTCCTTGGAGAGAGGCCCCGGCCACACAGGGGAACCCCAGGACCTGCGGCATGCCTTCCAGAGATGGAGAAGCCCCAGGGAGGCCAAGGAGCGAAAGTTCTTTCCTGCCCTGAGAGCTTCGGGGGACTCTTCTTAGGGTAACCCGCACGAGGGATGTGCCGCCTTGGGCTAGGAGAGCTGCTGCTAAACGGGAAAGTGGCTGCTCTTGCAGAGAACCAGCAGGCCTGACCCAGGAGAAGGCCTGGGGCGGAAGTATGAGACAACCACCCAAGTCCAGGATGGAGACTCTCCTGGGACTCCAGGACCAGGGACATGAGTCCTTTTCCAGCCCCTTCCCAGCATCCTCCTGGGCCAGGTGGGGCCAGGCCTGAGGTGGCCAGTCCAGGGAGGAGGAGGGCAGAGGTGGCCAGCGGCTCCGTGGCTCCCTCTCTTCTGGCCCTCCAGAAAGCAGCCCTGACCCTGGCCCTGACCCACCCGTGATCACGATCACGATCCCTGTGCCTCCTTGGCAGCAGCACAGAAGTGTGGAGGCCTGTTACCCAGGCCCTGACCCTCCTCCTCAGGGACTTCTCGCTGTGGCCAGACCAAGGGGCCCCTTTCCTGGACTGAACTGTGCCCTCCCTCCATTCTCCTATCTCCCCTGCCTTTTTCTTCTCTCCTCAGAAGCCATAGAGGGGACTACGTTCGTCTGTGGTGCCTTCAGGGGAAACTCTTGGGGTAGGGGGATCTGTAGGACTTTCCTTGACTTTCTCCCTCATCTCCCCACCCCCGCCAACCTTCCAGCTTCAGTCTCTGCCCTTACCCCCAGCCCATTTCCAGGAGGTAGAAAGCAAAAGAAAAAAACATTTCCTTCCCTCTTTCCTTCCGTCTTCCATCCTCTCTCCCCCCATTTTGGCATAACAGCCTTTTGTCTTTGATCCTGGAGTTCTTGGGGCTAGAAGACGAGCAGACAGGAATGCCAGTGGCTAAGATGATTCAGGCAGATTCAGGCAGACTCTGTAAGCCTGTTCTCCCTCATCAGGGAACTTCTCAGCCAAGGAGCAAAGTCAGATCCCCTCTAGCTCCCCAGTGACAGAGTAGCCCTCTGACAGGTAAACAGGTGACCTGGGTAGAGACGTCAGGGCCCCAAGACAGGAGAGTCTGGGCTCCACTTTCCTTGGAATGTGGGCCTCTCTGGGCAATTAAGGAGAAAAAGAGGCTTCCTCGGTGGGTTTGCCCAGAACCCCGGAGAAGCAAGGGCATGATCTACGCCGGCAGCCTCTGCCTGCCCAGCTCATGCCCATACTCAGGGGCCTTTCCTGTGCTTTGGGCAGATTTGGTGGGATCCAGATTGTCTTTATAAGGCTTGAGCACAGCTTGGGTTCCTCCTTTCATCCTCCAACCCCTTCCTTTGCCCCTACCTTCCAGCCCCAGCCTTCTACAATCTGTTATTTCCTTTTATATCCAAAGAATTATAAACAGAAGTCCTTCCCTCAAGGGAACAGCAAGATTCACCAGTAAAGGCCAGTGGGGTCACAAAGGACAGGAGAAAAACTCCCTGGTTCTTTGTCCTCTTGGATAGTAGAGGCCTTGGCTGAGGCAAAGAGGTGGGCAGAAAAGTTACCTTGACTCAGAGGCCGGAGAGCCGCCTGGAGGGCATATGTGTCCCTAGCGGTCACCTGTGAGGCTGCAATCCTAGAGAAGTCACTCCTGTGGCAGAGGATGAAATTGTATCCCCGGAGACTCAGAGGTATTGGGTGTTCTGTCCTGACCACACGGGCTCACTGGGAAGAAAGGTCAGGAAAGTGGAGAACGAATGTTCTGGGGAGTAGGTGGCCGAGGAGAGCTTCCCCCTCATGCACCTCTCAGAATTTGGCAGGGATTGTAGCTGCAGGCCTTTGGCAGAAGCCCAGAAAGCTTCTTCCCCTGGGAGAACACCCTTGGCTCCAGAGGGATACTGGATATCTTGAGCCCTGGCTTTGGGAACATGGGTGGAGTCCCAAGGTCAAAGTGTTCTGAGTGGAGGTCCAGTTGTCCTCTGCCTCCAAGCCAGTGGCCCCTTCTTCACCCAGGGCTGAGGTTGGGGCCAGCACTGCAGCTGATCTGAGTAGGAGGTAGTAGCTTCTAGCCAGGTGCACCCCAACCCCACATTCTATTGTCCCTCAGTTTCCTTCTCAGAGAAATGGGGACTTTGCTCCTTTTAGCATCTTGGGAGGCAGTCTGGACACCTGTGCCCATCTCTATGCCCTTGGTACAGGGAAGGCCAAAGCAGCTCCAACATCCACAGACCCTGTACCCTGGGGCTCTGACTTCTGGCCAGGCTTCTGCTCCTTCTGGGGTGGGCCTGGCTGCCTTGCCTTCCCATTCTCTCTCCATGGCTCTCTCCAAGAGACTCCACCTTGAGGGGGGATCCTGCGCTCAGGTGCATGGGTAGATGATTCTGTGGAGGAGATCAGGCCTCTTATTCTTGCTGTGTGAAACTGATACTTCCTTGCAGGCAGGTGGGGGGTCTTAGCCTCCCTGGGCCTCAGTTTTCTCCATCTGTAAAGGGGGGACGTCCCATGCCTATGTTCCCTGTTGGGCTTTAGGCTGTTAAATGGAGTATCAAGAAGTGTGAAGGGTCTTTGTGACTTGAGTGTGGTCTGGGACCCTGGCCCACAGGACCCAAGGGGCTTCTTGTCTCAGGTTGAAACCTTTTTATTAGAATGTCATTTCCTTCTCTGCTCCCAGGGAAGGGCTTTTTGAATGTAGCATATGGGTTCATAGAAATATATAGGGGGATTGTTATTTTTAGAAAAAAAAAAAAAAAGAGCAATAATTAACTAACTGAAATATACATGAAGTAGTAGAGTGGGATGCAAAGAACACTGAGCTGGGAGCCAGGTCTCCTGGGTTCTAGCCCTGCCTGGAAACTAATGACCACGTGACCTTAGATTAGTCACATCTTATTTCTGAGACTCAGGTTCCTCAACTATAAATCGGGGATTACATGAATGTCCTCTTAAGTCCCCCTTGGAGTCCAGGGCTCCATGAGTCTGGGAAGTTGAGCCTCAGTGGGTCATAGGGTTGTGGAACCAGAGGGTCACAGGTTTCCTGTGCCCTCACAGATGCCTTCTGTGCAGACAGCAAATGTGTGGGGAGGGTGGGCGGACGTGGTATGGAGGCTCTGAGAAGTGAGGGGGATGGGGGAGTGAAAGGGAAAGGCAAGTCCCCCAGAGCTTCTGCTAGAATCCTCCCCTAGCCAGTGCCCAGGACCCCCTGCAGCTCTGCCTCTCTTCCCTCCCACAGCCAGGCCCCAGGGGAGTAAATCTGTTGGCCTGGACTCTGACTCGAGGTCCTGTCTAGCTCATCACAGGCGCCACTACGTACACTCTCGCTTTCCCTCTGTCGCATACACACACCATCTCCACCTCCACCACCACCACCTGCAGACAGATGCTCAAGCCATGCTTTATAGATCTCATGGACTGGTGCCCTGCTCCAGTTATGTAACCCATGGGCTTCTATTTGCACAGCTCCTCATGTGCTCATCTCCATGCTGCTCAAACCACCACACCTCATTCCTTGCCTTCTGCAAGGGGAAGTGCCTCAGGCTGGAATATGTCCTGTCTACAGACTGAATGTGCGTTTTGCCCAGTGGTTGGGGATGTGCTGGTGGTGGGATGTGCTGGTGGTGGAATGTGCTGGTGATCGTTTCTGGATGGAAAGCCACAGCCCCCCAGTGTTCTGCCGTGGCTGACTCCTGACCTTGGCAAATTGCCTCCTCTCTCCCAACCTTCTCCATAACAGGTGGCAATGAGTCCTGTGCCCTCCCTACCTCACAGGAAAGCATGCATTATAAAGGGCACACTTATCACATGTGCCCAGATATGCTTGGAACTTTTGGAGTCAGATACTTGGTTCACAACCGCGAAGATGGGCTTTCGTCAGAGAAGGAATCTTTGGGCTGCTGAGTTCAGTGGGCTCCCTCCAGGCTGGTCCAGGAAGTCTGGTGTTCCTCCTGAAGGTGGCTGCTGTGCCCAGCAGGTGATCAAGCTGATAA